AATTGTTATTAATCTATTATTTAAGTAAATATTTTCATAACTGATTTGTGAATTGCAATGTTTATGATTTCACCATGAAACAACAGTGTTAGATGACATTAATAAAATACAATGAATTAGTAATTATTACAGAACTTTATTTTTAGGTACCTATTAACCTCTCATTTTGAGCTTTATGGTTTATGATACCTTCAAAGCTTTGAAATTTCCATAAACGATAGATCTTGAAATGGATATGCATTCATTAATTTTGACTCATACAATCTCCATAGGTTTTGATTTTTTTTTCTCCAATTTTCAAGGTGTCATTTTTTTGTTAAAATCTTCTTCATATTACACATTATATTAACAATATATTTTTTATAGTAAACACAGTAGAAAATGGAGGTGAATCAAACTAAAAAAGATTCTAGTTTGAAGATATATATCTACTAATAAATGATCTGATTCTATGGAAAAAAAATTCTTAAATAGAAGAATTAAAGATAAAATATAATATGAATCAAAAGTTATAAGCATAGATAAATAATAGGTCTTGGAAACAGAAAAAAAATATGAAATGTTGACAGACTGAATTTTCTAAATTTTTCCCAAACATAATTTGCTGTTTTATTTTTTTAAAAATAATTTTGTGAAATTATTTTCTTTGCACAAACCACGCCCAGTCTGCTTTGTATTTTTCTTCTTGCAATTCAACTTCAAATATCTTATTTATTAACTATTTTTTACTTTAAGTTGAATCATTCATTGAATTTCATGTGAAATATTGAGACCAACTTATTGTGTTAGTGGGTCGGGTCGATAAGTTTCTCTGTTTAATTTCAACATTACTTTAATTATTTTATTGAATTTCAATTTTTTTTTTTTCACCTTGCTGTTAGATTAAAATAAAGAAATTATCATAATTGATCAAATCAAGTTATATATGAAGATATAATTAAAATTCAACATTGAATTAATGATTACTTTGGAGATAAAAATTATATATATCTAAAACTAATTATTTATTATTAAGAAGATAAACATATTTGAAATAGTAAAAAAGTAGCAATAATACTAAAAACCAAAACAACACAAAATATTAACAAAAATATATGAAAGAAGAAGAACAATTTTTAGGGAACTAAGGACAAAAGTTTGTTTTTTTGCTTATTTTGAAAAAGTTGTATCTGATTTTTGAAAGTAGCAGAAGATGTTGCAAACTGCTACTCATGATAAACAGTTTTGCCAAGTACTACTTCCCAAATGATCAATGACAATTACATTTTACAGTCACTTCACTCTTAACTATTAATAATAAATAATAATATTGATATTTTAGCCGCCTTCCAAGTCCCTTTATAGATGTCCTCATGAGGGAAGTACTCTTTATTACCATATTATTTGATTCTGCAAATTTACTCAGAAATTCATCATTCATATTTGTAACATTATGTAGGAAATGAGCACTGGCCACAATTTTAATAAAATCCTCTTTTCCAATTTGGGCAATCAAATCTCCCATTACTATTTTGTTATTATACATTGCGCAATTCTTGTAAGTTCTTTCAAGTTTTTGGTAGAATTCGACCTTTCCATCATCACTAATATCTTCTGTGTGGGCTTATGAAGATATAACAGTGATATTTCTAAATTTTCTTTTAAGTCTAATTTTACACATTCTATCACTAATAGGCTCAAATAGAAGATGGATATTTCTTAATCACCATGTTTTCCATCCGTTTATTATTGTTCATAGGTTTCTCAACAAGTTCATGGGCGGATCTAAGGGAGGGGAGGGGTCTTTCGGGCTGAAGCCCCAAAATGATAAAATGCAACCATGTTTAATGGAAAAGTATTTAAAACTTATCTCTTAAAGTATTATTGTTCATTTAATCACAATTAAAAGAACTTTAGGAATAACTTCAACACCATTTCATGTAGGCAGTTAGTTTATTTCTTTTTTCCAAAATAATTATCGTTATTTTTATGAAAAAAAAGCTTTCGGGGTGAAGCCCCCCTCAAAATTAAATCATGGATCCGCTAGAGATCAAGCTTAATTATTATTTTTCAACTGCCCCATCATTATTATAAAGAGATTAGATGATTTCTTTTAATTCCTTCAATAATAGCGTCCATATTGGACCTAACTACCCCTAACCACCTATTAATCGATTTCAGATCGACTATTATATTTTAGGGGGGCGCTTTTTATTAAAATACTGTCGGATTTGGGATAGCGCCCCTGGGCATCGACTTTTTGTAAATATTCAGATTTAATCGATTTAAGGGGCGACTATCACGTTTTGAAAGGCGCTTTTTATGAAAATATTGTCGGAGTTGAGATTGTGCCACTGGGCATCGACTTTTTATAATTTTTTTGATTTAATAGATATCAGGGTCGACTATTATGTTTTAGGGGGCGCTTTTTATGAAAATCCTGTCGGATTTGAGAATGCGCCCCTCCTCCCGGGCATCGACTTTTTGTAGCTTTTCGGATTTAACAGATATCAGGGTCGACAATTATGTTTTTGGGAGCACTATTGATGAAAATACTGTCGAATTTAAAATTTGGCCCCCGGGCATCGACTTTTTGTAATTTTTCGGATTTAATCGATATGAGGGTCGTCAATTATGTTTTGGGGGGGCGCTGATTATGGAATGCTGTCGGATTCGAGGTTGTGCCCCTCAAAACATAATAGTCGACCATGATATCTAATATATCCAGTGAACTACAAAGGCCATCAGATACAAGAATATCAAGTCAAGATATCAGAAATCCCGGACCCAAGAAGAAGCAGAAAGATCAAGAAGAGAACCCATCGGATCAAGAAGAGGACCTTCAAAAATAATAGACCCAGCGGTGTCTTTTGCAAGAGGTAAGAACGAAATCATTAATTATGAGATCCTGCCGCAACAACAATATACACCTCAAACTCTCAACCCGACCCTCGACATTCTACTACTCAAATTTCGCCTAATCCTCAACCATTATATCAAACACTAAATTACTCACATTCCTCCTCCATCAAATACCACAGATCTCACCAGTTTACTTACATCTTTCCTCTCAGAATTCAGATATCTTGTTACTCCTTAGATATGCCTTCTCACCAAAAATCCTTAAATGACTTCCTATGAACCTATATCCATTCTCCTTTGGAATGCGAATGGAAATCATACAGATGATCTATCAGCTTTATTACTTGACAGGAACATTGACGTGACACTAGTTACTGAAACTCGACTGACCACTAAACAACTCTTCAAAATACCACGATACTTGAATTTTAATAAGTAGATGTTTTATTGATTTACTTTAATATCGAAACTATTTATAAAAAACTATATCCCCATAAGAAAACAGTGGCCATAAAAATTGAAGAAATATTAAATATTCTACTCCTGTAATTTTTATAATGAAGTACTCAATTACTTTGAAAAGTACTCGGAGTAAAACAATTATGATTAAATGTGAAAATGGAAAGTACTAACGAGGACAGCTGAGTACTTTTTGTACTCGTCAATCATCAGGTCGAGTATTGATTAAAGTACTCAGTGTACTCGAACAGTGGGAATACTTTGTAATTTGTACATTTTACTGAGAGTACTTTCTGCCCATCTCAATTAGGGTCTTGCTGTACGCATCAAAATCTTCAAAGCCGAATTTGTCCCGTATCGATCTACAAACTAACTACCGTTCCAGTATTGAAGCCTAGAAAATTGTTTGTAGCGACTTAATTTATTTTAGAAAGAAAAACAAAAGCGAAGAGTAAGATTCGCTAACCCCCGTGAAATTCTGAATCCAACGGTACCCCATTCATGGTATTTGAGTATGACAAGAGCTTATATTTGGTACAAAACCGATTTCGAGCCTTACTGTAATAATATATGTGGAAATATTTTCATTATTTTATAGCTGACGTTTATTAATATAATATTTATACTAATGTAAAAGATTTATTTGCTAGTTTGTGTTTGTGGTTTGTTGACCTAGACCCTTACAAAGTATAAATGAAAATTTATTTTAAATAATTACTAAAATGCTATTTACATAAAGTTTTAACCAAGCCATTTTGTCACATATTTTTTTTTTAGATAATTTGGGCGAGTTCTCAAAATCATCACAAACTCCACCGAAAGAATGCGTCACTGAATTTTTTTTTAGAATTGTTGAACTTCAAAACATAAATAAATTTAGAGAAAAAGTAAATTGAATGTTAAATTGAAAAATAACAATACGGAAGTTACATCTAGCAGATCCTTTGATCTCAGAAGCCAATGGAATTACTGAATAAAGCAACGCTCTGAATTCTACTAATGGATCCATTGATGAGTTTATGAATGGCCTGATGGATTTCTGATGCCCATCAATGATAGTCCGTAGTATAAACCCCTTTTTATCAAATTATTAACATTCGCCTGAAACTTCGTAAACAGTTGCATCTCATCGTAACCTACAACTATTTCATTTACAAAAACTCTTGAAATTGGGGAGTTTTAAATCTGAAGGGGGGTAAACTTTGTCTATTTAATTAGGTACTAAAAACTCATAAATACACGTTTGCTTTCTACTTGAATCGCAAGATAATTTGGTCACAAAATTGATAAAAAAGGTGGCCGTTATAAAAATATTGGGCCATTTGTCCGATACAACATCGTTATTTTTAAAATTTGTGGGTGTAGGTCACTCCAAACGGCTCAATATTTTTTAAGGCCACCTATTTTCTCGATTTTGTGATCAAATTATCTTATGATCCAAGTACAAAGCAAACGTGTATTTGCGAGTTTTTAGTACCTAATTAAATAGACAAAGTTTGTCCCCCTCCAGATTGAAAACGTCCCAATTTCAAGAGTTTTCGTAAATAAAATAGTTTTAGGTTACGATGAGATTTAAACTATTTACGAAGTTTCAGGGGGATGTTAATAATTCGATAAAAATGGGTACCACGGACTAAGAGCTCAGCTCTGGGTTTAGGAACTTGCCTCTTTGTTCCATCCAGAACTGTTTCGTTCATGAACTACATATCACAACATTTAAAAGTTGTTTATTTTTTGAACACATTAAAAACATTGTTTAATTTTGTGCAGGCTATTCGTTTTTTTTTTTAAATTTATATTAATAATAAATTTTACTATTATTTGTATCAGTATGCATTGCGATTGCTGAACTCGAACTACTAATAGTACCTAATCCTGTTCTGAGCACCCAAACTGATAGTTAAAATTATTAATTTGTCTTAAGATTTAGACAGTTTTCTGCATAAAAAAAAAAAAAAACTCTTGTGTAAGTCTCTGATCCTTAAATATTAAAGTTGCCTATTGTACACAATTTTCGTATATTGTTATATCTCAAATTCATCATCGATTTCATTTATTTTTTTAGGTACACACTCTAAAGAAATGGCTGATGAAATTAAACCTTGTGAGTTTTCCATTTTTAAAATCTAAATGTTGCAAAGTTTAAAATAATAAAATAAATAATTAAAATTATGGATTCTACACTTTCTTTTTTATCTTATTTTAGTTAATTATCGATCTGTTAGTTGCTGTCCAGTTACTAATGTACAAATATCACTGCCACTTTGGTTGGTGGCATAATCACACCATAAATGGAATTCTGAGAATGGTCGAGTATGTCCAAATATAAACATTAGTCATTAAATTGTCTGTTTAGGCCCAGACAGAAATCCCACTGGGGGTTTAATAGTCTCATTTGATAAATTTAAATAATTTTGTTTCAAATTCAATAGTGAAATATGTGTCTTTTTATCATTTGGATCATTTTCACTGAAAGATGAAATAATCTTGTTCTTTCCATACTCCAGTCATCGAGCTTTCCTAACTCATATTTGAAACTTAGAGTTGCCTTTCCTGGAATTAAAGGAATTTCTGGACTAAAATAATTACCATTCTTATCTCTGCTGGATTTTAATTCTTCGGAAGTCCTTTCTTGGTATTTATAAGATTAACTGTAAGAGATTTTCTGATCCAATATCAATTGAAGAATTGATTTTGCTAAGCTCTTCAGTAACAGTTTGCTTCTCATCACTTTCTGAGTGATCAGAAGAAGTTTTCTCAGCTAGTGTAGTTTCTTCAACTTCAGTTACGTTAGCAATAATTTGGGTTTCTAGGTTTTAACAACCTTGTTTCCAAATTTTCTGTTTATTATTAGATCATAATTATGTATATAATCCATCCTCCCTATGGCATTCAATTTTTCTAATCTACAATGATTGTTACCAATTTTATTTTAGGCTCTGGTTACTTCATTTACTCTGTTTAAATATTTTAATGTTCTTAATATTTTTATATACTTTCTATTTACGCTGTTAATAATTTTAATCTAAATATCATGTAACCTCCACAATTTTCTATGTCCTTTTGTATCTTGTTTGTTCTATCCCTGATGAAGACCTGCTTAGTTGGGCCGAAACGTTAGCTTAAAATTAAATACTTTTCACTCTTTTAAGTTTTTTTATAACCCCAGACCTTGTCTTTCCCAAAAATTATACTATGTTCTATAATTTTTCTTATAATTTTAGAAATGGCATTTATATTATTATTACTACCACTAGGGATATTTTACATTCTATCTTACCCCCGATAATCAAAAAAATGGAGTTAGAAACAACATTTCTTGAAAAATTAACAATTTATTATCTTAAAAAATCGATGAAAGATATACCTATCTCACGGCTCTTGAAGAAAGATTTTTTGGATCTTAAAAAATTTATAAACAGTAATCCTGATCTATATATTATTAAATCTGATAAAACGAAACATATCATATTAATGACAAAGATGCGTACATCCAAGAAATGTGTTCCTTACTTGATGATAATAAGGTATATAGGGAGCTAAGGGTGGATTAGAAAAAATACTAACTAAATGAATTAACCTATAAATGTAATAAATTTGTTGATAGATTACATAAAAATAAATATATTAATGATGCTTAGAAGAAATTGTTGACTTACACAATGATTTAGAATGCATGGATTTGTAAAATTACACAAACCTGATTGGCCTTTAAGGCTCATTTTAAACAATATAAAAGGATATTTATTAAATCATTAAATTATTTTAATAATATGGATAACTATGACAGAAATATTCCTTTAAAGTAAAAGAAAAAATCTGTTGCGGTGGTTATGCGCATCACATAACTTTCACTTAGCCCCCTCTTCTTAGCAGAAATAAGTATTTTTAGACAAAGGGAAGTGAAAGTAAAAATTACAAACGCTATATTGGTTTATGTTTCATTGTGGGTATTTTTATTTTTATAAGTACCCTTATATACACAAATTTTAGTATTTATATCGCTGTAATCTATACTATTAAATAATACCAACAATAGTGTCTATGAAAACCGCATATTTACATTTACATAATATTGTCGGAATCCTTATTATATTAAGCTCATCTTTCGGACGAGCTCGAGTGCGCTCGTATTCCTTTGGTTCCTCAATTACAGCTATTCTCCATTACGATCTCTTATTTCTCCTTTAACTATCTTTTATTATTAGAAATTAGAAATTCTTGTGAAATGGTTAATTGTTTCAAATAAATAAAATTAAAGGTATTTTAGAAGAATCTAATATTGAAAATTAGCCATTCAAGCCCTGTTAGAAAACATCAATCTGAATAAAAACTATATTTTATTTTAAACTGCTTAATTTTACACGGATATGATGAATTTAATCAAAATCGTTAGAGCCTTTTTGAGAAAATCGCAAAAATGTGTTTAGTCCATTATATAAAGTGCCACTTCCACTTAGCCGATTTTAACAAAAAAGTTGCTATAACATCCCTAGCATATAACACACACACACAGACCATTTTGTGAGACTTGGTTATTTGGACTCAGGGAGACTTCAAAACATCTATTTCCGTTGAAAACTAAGATTCCGAAATGTTTACCACATCGCGATACTTTCCATTACTATATATTTCATGGATAGGTAAGTAAAAGTAAAAATTAGTAACATACATCTAATAAATGATGAGATGATTTAGGTAACTTAATTATTAACTGTATGGGTCAACTGAAATTTAAGTGTACAAGGAAAGATGATTGCAATGATAAGATTTTAAATTACTTATCATACCACACTTTTAATCCAAAATTAAATCAGAATTGGGTAAAATCATAAAACTAACCAAAATGGATTTGAAGGAATGCGAAGGAGCAAATCGTTAAAATTCTAAAACATTTATAGCCAGCCTCATTAATTACTTCCACATGGTACAAAATATTGGATAAAATTGATAACCCAAGAATACTTAATGATCGAATAAATGCTAGTCCACTTTTTCGAGGTACAAACCTTTAACTTACATAAAACATCTTTCTGAATCCCTCAAAAAAACAAACATTTAGTATAATATAAAGGAAGTTAAAATATCATATAAAATCTCTAATAAGCTATCCAAAAATTTTACACCACTAATAGATAAAATAGTTAAAGAACGGGAATTACTATTTAATTACAAAATATATTGTCTATATTGCCCTAATTTCTATACTGGTATGACAACCCATAACTTCAGTAACAGATTTTACCAACTATATATCCAAGAGCCTCGATAGGATTATAAATTTTGAAAGTCCCAAGGGACCTACTTCTACATCTATCTAGGGACCTACTTCAAAGGGACCTACTTCTACATTAAGAACAAGGAAAAAAAATAATAATCAAGCTAATTCGCAGCTGATGGCTAATACATCAGATTTGCTATATGCACTGAAGTAGGTTCAGTATTTTATGTGTATATTTTTTATTTATAATTCTAATTCTAATTAGTAATTCTTTTTTAATGCTTTTAATGATTTTTTAAATGGCCTAGTGTCTACTGGTAAGTCCTCTGAGAGATTTTTTATGTATATATTCCAGATGAAAATTGACAAAATGTTTTAAAATCACATAGTATCCCTGATGAAGCCTAAAGAGACACAAATTTGGATAATTTTATAATAAATTATTTCATTAACAGAGGCTCAAAAGGACTAAAATACTACTTATAGTTAAGAATGTAAAGTTAATGTTTTAAAAAAAAAAATGTTTTATGAACCCTACCTCTTCTGGTAATAACTAAGCAGATTCTCAGGAACCCACAGATTTCTATTTAAGAATCTATTTTTACCGTCATAAGGCACTTCTGTGAACTAATGTAGTTTAGTTATATTTTTGTTTTGTCTCTCGGTGACTGTATTCATTATGAATTCACAAAGTTCCTTTCTGTAAGATGTAAGAACATTCCTTTGATGAAATTCTATTATGATATCTCTTCCTTTCATTTAAAGATTATTTTGGAGTTCTTATACACTATTTTTCCATTATATTTCTATTTGTAGCTTTCAAATTTCTGTAAGCTGGTTCCCTTCAGTTATCTCCTGTATAATTGCTATTCTCTTGTGCCAGGTCTTTCTCTTATCTAGCCACACTTATTATTATATAAAATCAAGCAGTAACAAAGTCTTATGGTAACTTTAAAATCTACCCCAATACAAATCTATGAGCTAATATATGTTTAACTTCACTGTTTAGAAGTGGATAGTTTCTCAACAAGCGTTTTCATGTCATTATATTCCTCTGTACATATTTACTAGATCTATTTTTATTTTAATGTAGTTGTTTTATGAACAAATAAAAATATTAAAACTTCACTGTTACTTTTATACAGTAACTAATAATTATAATATTTCATGGTGCAACTAAAGCGAAATGTATTGTTATTAAAGGTATCTTATTTATTACTTAACATATTTCCTTTTGTGGTATTTCATTTTATTTGATTATTATAAATGTTATATTCATGTTGATAGGTGACCATGTGTATGTGAAACAGGAAGAGCTACTCCTCCCAGACGAAGGTGAGAACTTTTTATTTTTTGCTTTTATGGCTTTAAGATTTTAGACAAAATCCTTAAGAAATGAGAGGGTTGGGATGATTCTGAAGTTTATTATTCAAGGAGAGGTATCTGGATTGGGCCAAATATGAAATCTTAAGGTCCTTATGGATGATTTTATTTGTAACAAAGTAGTTGAGTATTTTGGATTGTAAGAATTGGAAATGAGAGGAATTTTTTGATTTAGTGGAGCTCCATAACTCAACTCCGTAAGTCCAAATAGACCTTATTATAGTCATGTATATGAATATTTTTTAATTAATTGGAAGTTTAGAGCTTTTATCTTGTAAGTGCTGAAGTAGTCAGAAACGTTGAACGGTTTCGTGTCGTTTCAGTCTGGTAAAAAATTCCAAGTTAGACGTTTTCCAGGTTGAGTCCTAGGCTGGATAATATTTAGAAATAAAGACATCAACAAAAGTTGATTGACATTTTAAATCAATTAATTATTAAAAAATGTTGCAGATACCACGGTTGTCGTCAAAAAAGAAGAAGAGGAGGAACCGATGATTGATTACAGTGAGGAAAATATTAACTTGTTCTTATATACATAGATGATTCGTATGATAAATCAAGAAGGAATTGGTCATAAAAAACATAAATTAGTATATAATCCTATATATTATTTCTAAAAAGTGTTTTTTTGTCGGTACGCCATAAATTCGTCAATTCTTCATCAAATTCAATGAGTGACCACTCATTTTGAAGATATTCTTCTCTTTCACATGCGAAAAATAATCTCGTCCCCCCCGAAATTTCTGGAAAAAAGATTATGGAGGAAAAGAAACTTTATTTGCGAATAACTCAAAAAGTATGCATTTTTTTCTGTACCCATAATAATTAGATAGATTACTAAATTATCTGCAAAACAAAAAAAAAATATATAACTATTATTAACAAAGATACAGTCCGTTAGTTTTGTTATACTTAATAATATCTTCCTGTTTAAAGACATTGCATTTAGGAGTAGAATAGTCTACTACATTTATTTCTCTGGCTTTTATACTAACTTTATTATTTCTTAAAGACATTTGATTGTTCTTACATTTTATTTTTTTTTAATAAATTAGAATATCCTATGATCAGGGCAATATGAAATTTTGTCTTTATTACCCTTATTATCTTTCCAGTCAGCGTTTAAAAATAGTTCCTGGCAAAGCAATTTGTATAAATATTTTGGTCTATTATATTTAATGGAATATTGTAATCGACTAAGGAACAAATATTAATTCCTTCCTTACCCAATACATAGGAACTACTTATTTTCATATTGTTTTGCTATTTCTTTACTAAACAAAATTTTCTGCAAATTTTTCGCACGGGCCAACTAGTTATTAATTATTTGCATTTATGCTAATTATTTAATATTTTTTTCTGACAGATTCCAAGACCATCTTCTTCTTGATTACTTTTTGTTGAAAATTATTCTTAAAAATTGTGTTATAACAATGATTTATTTTTATAAACGCTTGCTATTTACCTATTCTTGTCAGTGTTATCAAGAGTAATACCGGCATGTAAATATGAAACTGGAATTCATCCATAAATGGGTCTATTTGTTGCTGTAGTTACCGTTAAATCACTCTATTGGCACCATTTTGTTTCTTTGACTTGTCTCTAACTTGCAAAGATTTTCAACTCATAACATTACTTGTTTCATATAACACTATTATTTTAATAGTTTTAAACTTGTCAAGGTTTTGTCTACTAACTACTATTTACAGACAGCAAGAAAACTCATGCAGGATCACATTGAATGCTTGTCGAAGCTTATGGTGAGCATGCTCCATAGTAAATTACTTTAAATGGTTTAAACTTGAGGAATTGTTTCCATATGTTTGAAACCCAGTGGAAAGATCTAGAAGATGTTCCATTGAAAAAGGTTCCACATGAACTAAATGAAAGACAACTAGAAAACAGCTCTAAAATTCTGCTCCCTAAAAGAAACAGAGTTGGGGTGGCCGATTAAATGCCTGTTAATCTAATTAACTAAAAATAATATGATAAAATAATTACAAGTTCGTGTCTTGATACTTGCGGGGAGGAAAGAAGGCTTTTAACTCTGCCATTAATTCTTCGCCCTTATTTCTGGTCTGGGAAAAAACCCGTATAGCCTAAAAAGAGGAGGGAGGGGAGTACATAAAAACAAAAGTAATTTCTTCATGGAATTGTGGCATTTGATGAAAAGTGAATACATTTCTTTTAATTTTTTTAAAAAATATTAGGCTGAAGGTCACTAAATGTACACAGTTTTTTACATCCTGTATTATTTATTCGACGTTTCGTCTTCAGGAGCCATTTTCAAGATCCTGCAAACTAATTTTAATTCAGTTTTTACAGTTCAAAATACATTCTTATTAGACACATATTAATTTAACAACTATCAGTAATATAAATAGTCCAAATTCTATTTTATAAAAAAAAAATTATTTTTTATTTAAAAAAAAATTTTTATTTTCGGTACAGCGCCGGTCTTACATAGAGAACAGAATACTAACAAAGCAAGAATAATTGAATCAATATTTATTATTAAAAACCTCAAAAATCGGTAAATCAACAGACAGATGTAGATAACTTAAATACTTTTTATGCTAGCACAATAGATAAAATTAAAATATAATATACTGATATATAACAGATAAAACAGCTGATCCCTAACCCCTCCACCCCACTCCTTTTTAAAATAAATCCAGTCCTGTATGAATGCGTTTGTGAGGAGCAACATTTTACTTAATATCGTCTGCGAAAGAGGTACATAAATTAGGAACAAATAATAATATTCTTTTTAAAAAATTTTAACATTCTATTTTAATTAATTATTTATTTATTACAACTTTTTAGAAAAGAAAACGACCTTCTATGAAATAAAAGAATGACTAAAAGACGAATTATATTGTAATGATAGATTTTAGAAATTTTATGAAGTGGTGCATGGTAGGTAGATGATAAAAATTAAAAAAAAAATTTTAAAATAGAATTTGGACTATTTATATTACTGATAGTTGTTAAATTAATATGTGTCTAATAAGAATGTATTTTGAACTGTAAAAACTGAATTAAAATTAGTTTGCAGGATCATGAAAATGGCTGCTGAAGCCGAAAGGTTGAATAAATAATACAGGATGTAAAAACTGTGTATATTTGTATTTGTATTTGACCTTTGGCCTAATATTTTTTAAAAAACTTATGAGAAAATGGCATCGAACCTGAATGATATACTAGAAAATTTAATATATTTCATTGGGAAGGACGGAGAAAAATTAAAATTAACTTTATTTTGTTTTGTTTTTAAATACATGCTCCCTTCTCCTAAATGCAGTCCAATTATTCTTTATTCATTAAATTTAAATTTGCCTATTTATACATTAAAGGGAATGAGGTAGCTCAGTGGTAGGGCACTCATCTTCTAATGCTCATGGTCCCAGGTTCGAATCCCGGCTCATGGCAGAAAAATTATTTATTCTGGTCCATCAGCCGTGAGGTGATCAGGCCTCTACAAAGTGGATATACTTAATCAAAATAATTAATTAAGGGGGAAAACCTGGCGGTTGAGCGTGATCCTAGTCCAACCTCCTCCCTGCACAATCTTTGTCCTTGAAACGGTACTTTCCCTGAATAGTACTGAACCCAAGACCCTTCATGGATTGTAAGTTTTTACAAATTAAATCTTACAATTATTCTACTTCACTCAGAATCATTTATCATTATTCATTTTATGTAATTTCTATATACCTGATATTGGTATATATTTATTGTATCATTTACAGTTCTTTGCCAAGGATAATATTAAGATATAATGGCATCGTCAAATTTGATTGGTATTTAAATTACTGAAATATGTTACAGATGCCATGATTGCTATCAAAGAAGAGGGACTGAAGATTGATTATAGTGAGAAAAATGTTAACTTAATACAATCTTACTTATAACAAACCTAATAATACTTCAATTACATTAGCCCATGTTCTGGTATCTGATATCTGTTTTTTTTTTTTTTTTTATAGGTTCCGAGGATAGTTGTCATATAAGTGAGAAATTCCATCAATGTCCACTCTGTGATTATAAATCCATTAATTCTCATAATTTGATAAAACATGTAATAGAGTCCGGTCATACACTTGAGAAACACAATAAATGTCCTCATTGTGGTTATAAACGTGTTAACTATCATAACTTCGAAACACATATAAAATCCTGTCGTACAATAGAGAAGCCTCATAAATGTCCCCATTGTGACCACAAATATATCAAATCTAGTTATTTGAGAAGACATATCATGTCCCGTCATACAGTGATTAAGTCACATCACTGTCCTCATTGTGGCTATAAATCTGTTTTATTATGTAGTTTAAAAACCCATATAATGGCTCATCATACATTTGAGAGGCCTCATCATTGTCAGCAATGTGACTATAAATCTGTTTCGTCTCGTAGTTTGAAAAATCACATAATGGCTCGTCATACAGGTGAGAAGCCTCATCACTGTCATCTCTGTGACTATAAATGTGTTTATTTTCAGGGTTTGCAAAGACACATAATGTCCCGCCATACATTTGAGAAGCCATATCACTGTCATCAATGTGACTATAAATCTGTGGTAGCTCATAATCTGAAAAACCATATAATAGCCCTTCATACTCGTGAGAAGCCTCGACGATGCCCTTATTGCGACTATAAATGTGTTTTATCTCAGGATTTGAGAAATCATGTAATGTCCCGTCATACATTTGAGAAGCCACATCACTGTCATCAATGTGAATATAAATCTGTCACATCTACAGCATTGAAAAATCATATAATGACCCATCATACATGAGGAGCCTCGCAAATATCCTAACTATAAGTCTGAAACATCTTTTAAGTTGAAAAAACTTATAATGGCCTGTCAGACAAGTAAGAAACCTTATTAATTTCATCAATGTGACTATAAATCCGTTTCAAATACTATATTGAAAGCATATATAATGGACCATCATACAGGTAATAAGTCTCATAAATGTTCTCATTGTCACTATCAATTTGAAACGTCTGTTGAATTGAAATACAAAATTTAACAGTTCGTAATACACTTGAGAAGCCTCATCAATATGGATGACCCATTTTGAGCAGAACTAATTTCATTAGAATAAAATAAGACTATTGATTTTTTATTCCAATAGAATGTAAAATATTATCGCTTATGATATATGAAAGAATTTACTCACAACATTCTCAATGATTAAAATTCTCAGATGAAGTGTCGTAAATAGTAAAGAAGAGATTTATAGGAATTGAGAGACTGCAGGTTACTATGGAAGTGGATTTTTAAAATTAAGGAATGAATTGTTCACTTTGAGAGTAAATTGTTTAAGTTATATTTAATTCAGTTGGCTTAAATTATTATTGGATTTGTTATGATTTTATGATTAAATTAAATTAAAGACTGACAAGATTTCAGATAAATGACTATATAACTTCAGATTGGTGAAATAAAAAATGTTCTATTTAACAAATGCAATTTGTGAACAATGATTCATATCATTACAAATTATTAAGAATTAGAAACCCCCATAATCTGCATTTTATTTTACTTTTTTCCTACTTATTTATCATTGGATATAAAAAATTTCAATTTTTTTCCAACTCGATTTAAAAAAAAAATTACTTCTTTCTAATATTTGAAGTTTATAATATATAAGAGTGGAACAAAATAAGCAATCTGATTCAAAGAGTTAGTCATAACAAAGAAGAAACGAAAACTGGACTGAATTACAGTGGTGGAATTGTTAATTAAATTTTGATTTTGACTGTAAGCCTGTAAATCCGGCTTATCAATGTTAACCTGATTAATAATATGTTCACTTCATACACTGAAAAACATATTTTTCCATCTTACAGGAGAGAAACCTCATAACTATCCTTATTGTGAATATGAATATGTTACACCTCAAGGTTTAAAAAATTATATGAAGATCGATCATCATCATACTGAGATGAAGTAATCCCATTACTGTGACTATTGTCTGTTGAAAAGTGTGATTTAAAATAACTAAGTCTTCTTTTATCAGTGATAGACCTCAAAGCAGAATAATAGATGACAGTGTGGCATTGTTACAGAACAAAAATGAGGTCATAAGATAATGGCCTAGCATCTACTGTGTTGAGAGAACTTGTGTGATAACCTTATTATATATTTAAACTTATTCAAATCATGTGTTATAACCTAGCCTACCAGTTAGTTTCAGATGCATGAAAGACTAGTGTGATTGTTTATAGTTATTATAGTTAATTTCTATAAATTAAAGTGTTATTTACTTAGTGTAATTTTATAGAATTTCTGTTAATAGAACCAAATTCTAGGAATCCCACATGTTCTCTACATCAAATTTTAAGAAGTTACATTAAATAAATAACAATTTTATTTATATAAATCAACCATAATCACACTAATCTTTTATGTATCTTACATTAACTTGCTAAGTTACAATAATCAAATTTATAACATATATTTTTAATATATAATAAGGTTATCACACATGTTCTCTAAATGGTCTTTTAATAAAAACATTGCAATGTCCATTTGATTGTTTTCTATTCTGTTAACATCAACAAAATACCTAAGTGTCCTGTAGCTGTGATTGAATGATTTTTCATTTGAACTGATTTAAAGAATAAACGTATCTTCTGTTGTTAATAATAGAAATAAAAAAGAAAAATATTTTATGGAGTTTTCCAATTTTCAACCCAAACATGTGGATCATCGTCAGAGCAATGGTTTGAAGGTCAGACAAGCACTGGCCACTAGAAGCAAAAGTGTATAAGTGTAAAAAAATACTTTTGATTAAACAATGGTTAATTGATTAATTAACTCTCTCCTGTAATCGAAACAAATTTTTTAGACTTATAAATCTATATATATAAAAATGAATGTATGTCTGTCCGTCTGTTTGTCCTTGGTGCATTACTAAACCATTCATCCGATCTCCATGAAACTTTGGGAAGTTGTTCCATACACTCCTGGGAAGGTTTCTGGCATATTACTTCTGTCTTACGATAATTTTATATATGTAAAAAAAATAAAAATGTAAATGTTTTTCTGTTCAAAGCCGCAAAAAAAATGTGTCGCTATAAGCTGTAGTGCAAAAACGGCTTTACCGATTTTAACGAAACTTGTCTAAAGTCTTCCCCTTGAAACCCTTTTCAAGATAACATACTTTCCCGAAAACAAGCTGAAAAATGTTACGATGTATTCAATATTTTATTTGACCATAACTAAAAAAGTACAGAACTTTTTACTGATAATACCCACATTTATTTGAAAGATTCCTGACTTGCCAAAAAAATAAAAAAGAAACCATCGAAATCGGATGGTTCATTGCAGAGTTATAGAGTTTTAAACATTTACTGTTTTCTCTTCAGAAAAGGCCATTTCCTTTTGCTTCCTCACTACCGAAGGTAGGCAAGCAATTTTTTTTTGTTTAATCGAAAATTTTATAATTACTACAGTAATTGAAATTATCATTTGAAGAAGTTATATGATTCTCCTTATGTAGGTCATTACTATTATACATTCTTTATATTAAATTTTTATTTTAGTTTTATAAGTTCAACTGTTTCTGATGATTATGAATGTTCAATTTGAATCATGAGAAACAAAATCATTAGAATTAGTTTAAATTGAAGCCATTTTACAGACAAATTTGTTTCCAACTTTTTAAAAATATCAGATGCCCTTTGCTATTAATCTACTCATATGTGCTTTCTATTCTCTTTCTTTTTCATTTTGCCAGGCCAAGTCACAGCAGCACTTGGGCGTGTAAAGCTAGTATATTATAAATGCTTATAAATATATTATAAGGAGAAATCAAAATTAGTGAGTCACAAAAACCCCTTCAATTGTTCTATGACTATTAAGAGATTTTGAAAATAATAATACTAACAAAGCATTCTTAACAGTACCTATCCCCCTGTCTAAAACTAAATAAAATAAATTAAAGTTTTTATCTTTATTTAAACACAAAGTAATTATATATGCATTATCATAAAACAGCGTAGAGCAGTAAGTGGTATTTTGTACTACAAAAAGATCTAGTAGTTTCTTATAGCTAAAGAAATCGAACAAGATAGTTTTTAAAACAGGACAGAACCAGAACCCTACTGTAACAACAAAAAAGACAGCTGCCGAAACTATTATCTAGAAATAATAAAAACATTTAAACTTAACTTATATTTGTACCGGTCCGTAACGAAAAGGAAAAGTTAAAATAGGTTATCAGCAGAAAATTAAATTAATGAGTCCCAAATACCCCTTCATTGTTCTATCACTATTAAGGGGTTTTGAGATTTTAAACAGAACATACAATATAAATACACGTTATCATAAAAACATCAATAAAAAGGCATGCAATAGTACTCACATGTTTTTATTGGCGGTTCAATGAAGTTCTCCAACTCACTCATAAGTGTACCTACCAAATGTCTGAATAGCTTTATAATTTAAAAATAATAACAAATATTATGAAAAAAAAAAAGATACATACAATCAGAAATAGATTTCTAAATTTAAGTAATTTTTCAGTCTGAATTAAATTATTTTAGTTTTTGGCAAATATTAATATTTTCAATTTAAAAAATCTATACTTATCTAAATAGTGAAACAAAATATAACAATATCATAATGATATTTCCCTATTTATTTAATCATTTAATTGTAAAGAATTATTTTTTTAAAATATTTAATGAGAAAAATTGTGTGTAATGAGTAGAGTTGAGTTGGTAGCTGCAGACTAAAAATCCTGAAATCTGCCTAACCTCTCACATTGAAATAATAAATTTATTATGAAAACATTAAAAACATAATTAGATTTGTTAATACTAAATTTTTAACGAATTGGTGAGAAATAAAAATATCAATTGAAAAGTACTCAATAATAAAAATGAAACATCAACTAATAGCATGTTTATTTTATATATTAGAAATTAATTGAATTGTTTTACAAACACTAACCAGATTTGACAAAATAATTAAATAAATTTGATTAAAAATAAAATCTTAATGAAATTTTCTTAATTTTTTTCAATGTTATATAGTGATAAATAAGCAATGTAATTAATTGTGAGAGGAGGCAGCCGCTGTATACATATAAAAATAAATAGCATGCACATGCTTCATGCAAAAAATCTGCCCACAATGGAAATAAAAAAAATTAACAACACTAAAAATAAAAATATATAGTACTCACATGGCTGTTTTTTTTTTTGTCATCTGCAGTTCATTGAAGTTCCTCAACCCTCTCATGACGAGTACCTAACTAATCTAATTTCTGAAAATCTTAAATTCTATTGAGTATTTAAAAAAAGTGAAATATACTTTAAAATTATTAACAGTAAGTTTATTAATATTTTCTATAAAAAGATAATTGAACTTTTGTTGTATCTAATATGTAAGTAAATAAATAAAAAGAAGACTAAAGAAAGTCAACAGATAATAGCATAATGATATACAAGTATTATCGCATAAGAAATTTATTTTATTTAACATTCTCTAAGAAAATTTTTTTGTCTAATGAGAGGGGTTTCCCGCTGGAGTGTGGAGATCCTGAAATTTGCCATCACCTCTCACATTCAAATAATTTAGTACTAAATAATCATAATTTAATTTTTAAAAAATAATAATGTTTAATTCTTTAACGAACCGATGACAAATAAATTAATTCAATCATTTTCAATATACTCACAAAACAAGACCATAACAACTAAATGAATTGATGGTTTGATAAATTCTGAATGAATTTTATTTAAAATATGCTAATTTTTAATTATTACAGTTTTGAAAGTTAATCTAATGAATAGTGAGAAGCAATAGCAACGAGGAACATATAAAAATAAACAACTATACACATCTACTGCACAACATGCACCATGAGCTTAGCCAGGGGAAAGAGAGTCGGGGTAGCTGACCATCTCTCCGATAAAGACATATAAACCATAAATAGCAACAAATATAATCCCAAATCTACTGAAAACTGATAGACAGTGACAGGTGGATTTTCTATTTAAACATTTTAAAAGAAACTGATTACGAAAAAAAGGACACCCTCCATTTAAAATAAATTAAATTTAAAAACTTGCCCCCTCTTCCGTTTTGAGGCAAAATTTTTTTAGCTGGCTAAGCTCTTGCCTACTATATACATGCATGTAACACTACCAATTACCAGGTCTGTAAAGATGAAACCTAAATTTGGCTATAGTTGTTAACATATTTACCGACGATCAGTTCGAAATGACCGGAATGGAAAGCACTAGTAAATTCACTATGCTCCGGGAGGAGTCAATGTGACTGGCTCACCACAATACAGAAAGTTTTTTATTGCAAGCCGTTCATAAATTGACAGAGAGATGGGAAAAAAGTATAGTAAATGTATATAAAAATATTTTTTTAAATATTTTGATACAATTGTTATGCGACTTGTATTCTCTATACAAAATCTTCAGTTTCATATTTACACACCTGGATTTGAAAAAACATGCGTTTTCCAAAGTGGGCAGAGATTATGGACCATCTCAAACATAGTTGTTTTGTTTTATTTGGAATATGTAAAAATTAAGGATCCTATATGATTTATCTTTTCTATGTTTAGCTCAAGGCCATTGTAGTTATTTTAGTTAACTTAATTATGTTTGAGTAAAGGCCCATAAATACATGTTAAGAAAAAGTCCTAGCTTTTTTCTGCTTGAAGTTCGTCCCGTGTCCTGTTGATCCATGAGGGAAGCAGCTCTCCAGCAGGTAACTTGTAATCATCAAGAGGAGCATTTCTGTCAATGAGTGGCTTGGATACTGGATACCTCCTCAGTACAGCGACAACCCATGAAGAAGTTGAGAGGAGGTATGTCCTCACATTATACGTTCCTGAAAAATGAATAACAATGTAAATAATAATAAAATAACAATATAATCATTTCAACATAAAAAAAAGAAAAATATTATTATTTAATGAACCACATTTATTTAAAAATCAACACTAAATTATGAAAAGTGCTATCATAATCTGAATAGAAAATTTATTTTTGTCATTCCTTATACTAAAGAAACGATCAATTTTCATGTAATAGTACACATAAAAACGAACTTAAAAAAATATGTGAAAAAAAAGTTTCTATAATTTACCTAATTTAGCCATGAGACATGTGATGCCATCCACAGTGACCACGTCAACAACAGAATGCTTAAACTGCATTCATCTCCTTATTCTCTTATGTCTGGCTTGATAGCTGGAAAGAAGACAATTATAATCCAGAAGACCTAACGAAAGAAAGATAGTAATTAATTAGAGTAAAACTGCCTCCTGCTGGTTCGAAGGCTGGAAAAACTAAGACGATCTAGAAGACCTAAAGAGAGAAAAATAGTAATATATTAGAGTTAAACTACATCTTTGCTGGCACTGTGGCTGGGACAACTAAGATGATCGAGAAGTCCAAAAGAGAGAAAAATAGTGATTAATTAGAGTAGAACTGCAGCTTTGCCGGTTCTGTTGCTGGAACAACTGAGATGATCGATGAGACCTAAACAGAGAAAAATAGTAATTAATTAGAGTAAAACTGCCTCCTACGGGTTCAATGACTGGTACAACTAAGATTGTGGAAGACCTAAGGAGAGAAAAATAGTAATTAATTAGTTAGTAATTAACTGGATACTGCTTATCTCAAGACGGCTTCTTCAGCATTTGAAATAAGTATAGTAATAGTTGGAGAAAGAGTGTTTCTGCAAGGGATATTTATGGATATATACAATCGGATGGTTGGGTCCTTGTGCTTATTTAGTGGAAAGGATGTTAGTTCTTTCTTAGGGAGAAAGGATGAAATAGGAGTACCAGGCTCTGGAGTCGCTATCCTATCCAGGGTGGTTTCTAAGGAAATATAAATGCAAAGCTGTGTACTGTACATGTGCTCCTGTCAGTGTCTTTGATTTTTTTTTTTTGTGTACTGTTGAGGCGAGTTTGCATGGTGTACTGAGCTGGGGTAACCCGTGGGGGCGCTGCTCCCCAAGAGCCTACATGCAACAGACACTCCTTGCGGGATTAATATATAATGTACAATATTTATTTACAAGCAAATTATCGAAAATAAATTATTAAAATGCACCACAGGTGCTTTTACAGAATCGGTTAGCATTTCTTGATTCAGAGTATGATGTGTGTTTCACAACAAAACATTTTTATTGATTTTGCAGTTAATGAAGATATATTATAAGTATATATTAAAATTAGAGAGTCTCAAATACCCCTTCAATTGTC